CTGCCCCCCAAACGCCTTTGCTGACCGCCGAGGCACACGAGGGCAGCCCCGCCGCGGGCACGCCGCTGCGCTTTGCAGCTCTCCTGCCTTTGCACTTACGGCGCACGCCGAAAGCGCTGGCGGCTGCACAACCCCTTCCAGAAACAGCGTCTGATACCTTGGAACAAGGTTTGGGGGGCCCTGCTTTCAGCACGTGCAAACTCCAGGGCCTTCGAGCTGTCTAGCAACACCGGAGCAAACTTGGCAAATGAAATGATCTGAGCAGAGAGATCGGAGTCCGGGAGCAAAATGCTAAATGTGGAAAGGGAATACGTGAAAAGTGGAGCGTGCAAAAGAAACTTGCCTCCCTGTGGGCCGCGGGAACGACGTGTGCTAACAGGGATTGCAGCGCAAAGGGCCGCTTCAGCCTCAGAACGCCCCCCAAGGCAATGATCAACCACCACTTACAGCGTGCTCCAGAGGTGCTCAAACGTTGTGCCCTCATCAGCTGGAGACGACTGGGACATCTTCACGGAGGGGGAGTCTGACAAAGGATAAATCACTCTGGGGGCAAAGAGAAACAGGGGGCAACCGGGGACACCTCGCCGCAGAGCAGGACTAGAGATAACGCAGCAGCAGCGCCAGGCTCTCCCGCAGGGGTGGCGTTTCTGGCGATGACGTCACGGGCCAGGGTTCTTACAAACATGTCGGCATTTTGGAAGGGGCCAAAGCGGCAGGGTGTTGGGGTGTCAGCCCAGGTCGGCTAAGCCCTGCCCCTGGGGCTCTGGGCTCCCAGCTAAGACGCTGGGCTCCCCCAGCCCCGCGGAGGCTTCGCGCGACTGTTCTTAGTAATTGCTTTGCACCGGCTTCGTTCGGCGAAGGGCTCAGGCTCGCCGGTTAGACACGGCAATACCAAACCCTTGAGTATTGGCGCTCTGAATCAAACTGAAACCCCAAGCGAGGTGGCAGAAAAAACCCCTTTGCAGCAAGAAGCAGAGCCGAAGGCGCCCTTGTTGCTGGGCTGCACGGGGTGGTCCCTGCTCTGCTCTGGGGGTGGGGAAAGCCACCTCCGCGCCCCTGGGGAGATCCCCGCCTCTGAATCAGGGCAGCACCACAAATTCAGGCCATGGGCTGTACCCTGTAGGCTGGTACATGAAATATCCTTGGGTGCCGCCGGCCCCGAGCAAGGTGTGCCAAGCAAGCGGGATCGCAGGAGCTCCGAGCACTGGCAGGAGCTCAGGCATCCCCAGTCGCCAGTGGCCACCTAAACAACCCCAAAAGAAGCCTGCCCGCGCTCCGTTTTGATGTAGCCCTTCAGCCCTCCTCCTGGTTTGGCCATTTCAGGCACAGGGCAGCTTTTATCCCAGGAACATCACTTGCCAACGGGCTAACATATTTTTCTCAGGAAGCTCTGGTTGCAGATGCCCACAAATCCATAGAGGCACAAAGGCAAGGGAGACCACCAGACACGTAGTGCAAGCTTACGGTGAAGCCACGACGCAGATATCCTAAACCTTACTTGTCCAGCCATCAAAATGGCCTTCCCACTTCTGAGCAGCTCGCAAACATTACTGAGGGAATACATGTCCCCGGGTAACGCAGGGCAGGAACGTTGCCCCTGCTTTGCAGACAGGGAGGTGTTGCTGGCAGAAAGCGCAGCGTTCGCCCGGACTGCACACGGGAAGCCTGGGGGAAAGCCTGCGCTTCAGCCCAAAGCCTTCTGAGCGCTACTGCATGGGCACAACCGGAGTCATCCTCATCCCGGTCTGCTCCTTTGGCCCCCGGACAAAGCTTCTCGGCCGCTTTCAAGCGTGGAAGGAAGCAGGCAGAGCATCTCAGCTCTCCCTTTGTGCCCAGCACCCCCCTGACCCCAGCAGCGGGAGCGGAGCCATCTTGAGCCCCACGCTGCCTTCCTCTGCTGGTGGCCCCGCCGTGCGTTCGTCCTCCTCCTCCCTTGCCCGCTCCCTGGAAGCAGCGGGACCGCTTCCCTGCCCTGGCTGACATGGATGCGCCCCAGGCACCACCTGGCTACTCCTTTTACCCACGCTGGTGTTAGCACCTTGTTTCAACTCGGTACCGACACCTAATAGTGAAAGCCTGAAAACTTCCTGCTTTTGGGGCTGGAGCCGCCGCGCGCCAGGGCAGCCGCTTTCTAACTGAGTGATGCTCGGGTCGCCCGGGACCCTCTGAGTCAGCTGGGGAGTGGGTGACTGCAGGGGCCCCGAGCTCAAAATGAAAGCGGGGCGGTGTCCCCCGAGGGCCGATCCTGCGGGCGCCTTTCTGCTGCATCTGCGGCTCGCTGCGAGACACAGCATCCGCAGATGCTCTTCCAGGAGGGCTTGCACAGCGGAGGAGGGCTCATTCCCCGCTGGGCTCATCGCAGAACAGCTAGCCGTGAGAGCCTGGTGTCCTCCCATCCCTCCTCGTCCCACATGTGGCACGCCGAGAACCGAAAGGACCTACGCGGCAGCTTTGAGGGAAGGAGAAGCCTAGAGCCGAGGCAGGCGACTGCTGGTGGCCTTACCCTGCTTCCATGCTGCTTTCCCTGGCCCAGGGCAGCGGCAGCTTCAGGAAGGAGCCAGGCCTTTCCCTTCAGCAGAGAAAGCACCTCCGCACCGCCCCGGCTGTGTGGTCATGATGGGTGACACCAGCTCTAACCACGTGGCTGCACTCGTTTTCGAAAGGAAAAAAATCTGAATATTTTAAGGGCGTTTTGGAAGTTCCCTTTCTCTTTCAAAACACAACTGGTGCTCGCGAAGCCAGGCCAGCATCTTCTCACGTTTGAGCTCTGAACTCTGGGGTATAAAGAGCAGCGAGGCTGCCGGCGTTGTTAACGCACATCCCTGCTGCAGCCATCGTTCCACATCTTGGGAGAGCATCTCTGCAGCCAGACTGGCAGCCGGGCCATCATCTAAGGTGATAAAGAATCACCAAAGACTTTGCAAATCGCGTTCCCCGCAGTGCCGATGACAGTGGAACTCACTCCGAAACGAGGTGCTATTGAGAGTCCCGTTATGGAACGCAGGGTGGAGGCATTCGCACTCAGGGAAGTCGGGAAAGCGCTCTGATGGGGAGGTCCAGCCGAAGGGAATAACGTCCCATCGGCAGCAGTGGAGGTCTTGTGGCACAGCTTAATTAAAGATGAGCTAGGAAAAGCCTTAGAGACTAATTCTGCCTTGCTAGAGGAGCATTACCAGATGGCTTGGATGCAGTTACCTTCCCAGTGCCTACAGGCTACGTAAACGGCACTGGGAGGCGGCTAACCCGGGGCTAAACACACCAGCAGTGCCGGAGCTGGAGATCAGCCCGGGTCCAGCCTCTCTGGGCCTTCCAGCCCCCCAGGGCCCTTTGGAGGCTCTTTCCCCTCTGCCGGAGCGGCGTCAGCTCCCTGGTGTTACCCGCTTCCCAGCACCAAAGGAAAGACCTGAGGTAGCACCCTGACGTCTGTCAGAAAGAGTTCTACAGCCAAACCCTCACCGGGAGGATTTAGCACGTCCAGAGGCCCAAACCTGCTGATGAAACTGAAGATGCCTTTGCCCAGGGAAGGGTCCTCCCGCCCGTCTGCCTCGACGCAGCAGGGAGGCAATAGGGGACGCTTGTCGGGGCAGCCAAGACGCGGGGCTGGCACGGGGCGGCCGGGGGAGCCTGGGACAGGACGTGCACCGGATTCACTGCAGGCTTCTGGAGGAAGAAAGACGGAAACGTGCAAACCAGGGGGTCTGGTGCTGGGCGCCGAGGCTGCCGGCGCGATTCGCCTTGGGAGAGCCGCTCTCCGCGTGCTTCCCCACGCCGGCTCCGCCGCTGGCTGGGTTGCTGCTTCCCTCTGTTGCTAGTCAGGGCATTGCAGGGAAACTGCACGTGGGAAAAAAGGGCCAGGAGTGCCGAGACAAAGCCAGTGAGGAGGCAATCCACCTGCCTCGGCTTGGCACGGTCCGCTGCTGGCTTGGCACCGAGGCGGGGGCTGTCCCCCCCCCGGGGCTGCGGGCGCAGGCTGGGGGGTGCCAGGGGCTGGTTCCTTCTGTCCACGTGCCTTCCCCGGGAATTGCCACTGAAGTGATTTCCAAAGGATTGGTATGGAAATACTCGGTGTCCTCAGTCTCATCCCCACTGCGGTGACTTTGGCTCTATCCGAAATCCCAAGTCGTCCCCGGCTCAGCTGGAGCAGCCGTTTCTCCCCCAGCCCCAGGGACGCAAGGAGAAGGAAAAGCACGCACCAAGGTCCGCTACACCATCCCGAGACGGGAGAACAACTCCGGAAAAGCAGAGCAGATGAACTCACATACATTCAGCTGTGCTTCATCCAGCCCACGGTTTGTGTTTCGACCACATATTCTTAGATTTATTATAGATTCAACTTCCTCCTCCCATCAACATATAGCAGGGAAAGGGTACCGCAGGTGTAACAAGGGGGCTGAGCCTGGCTGAGGGCGATGCCTGGCCGCCGAGTTCCTGCAGTCCCTAAAAGGAGCAGCTTTGATCTCACCATTAACCTTAAGCCTCAGTCTTAGGCACTTAGAGATGCCTGTTGCTATTCCACCTAGCAAGAACGGGTTTGTCACTATCCTGCCACTCCAACAGCCCGGAATGAAAGGCGACAGCATTTCGCAGCCCGCCTTAAAGGGAAATAAACACAAGAAACCTGTGTAACAGGGCTATTTCTAATTCCTAAAGACTCTTGGCCCATCCTGAGGGAGGAAGGCTTTTGAGAGCCATTTCCACCTCTCACATTGAACTGCTGAGTATTCCTCGATGGTGCGCGAAGCGGCCCCCGGACCCTCTCTCCTCCCCTCCTCTGCGCAACGAGAACCGTCAGGCTCATCCAGCCCGCAGCAAATAACTTAATGCTTGCAAAATGTTGACAGCTGCCAAGGTGCCAGCACTACCCTGTGCTATTGCTCATTCCTCCCAGATTACTAAATTCACACCTGCGAAAGGAGGCTTGTAAAAGCGACCAAGAGCAAGCAAGCTTTCCTGCTGCATCTTTGAATCTTGGGGTCCAGCAGCTTGTTAAGAATTTTCTTTCCAAGGAGCAGGCAGGTTCGGCAGAAATCCTCCCTGACGGACAGAGCCGTCGACAGGCAGCTCGTGATGGGGCAGGAGGCTAAACCAGCCAACTCTCCCTCCCTCCCTGGCCGCCGAGCGTCAGCCCTGCCTCGGGACCCGGCGGCAGGCAGCCAGCCTCAGCATCCCTCCAGCACCCAGCCCCACCTCCACTTTTCCCATTCAAGCCTTGGCTGGTTTTTCCTCCACAAGTGCTTTAACTCCGGATCGAAGGCACTTGGGAGCAAACTTTCCGAGACGCTTTAGTATTGTGTAACTAGCCTACACAGCAAAGCGGCCGCAAGTCATCTTCCAGCTGCACAATCGAGCACCGGAGAGAGGGTCGTGCTGACTAACCCACACGCACAAATAGCAAGGGGTTTCCTTTTGTCATTTTTTTTCCTCCTACCTGCTCTGCCTCCCCAGGCGTTTCGAGTTCCCCCGGAGGTCTCCCGCAGACAGGAGCGGCCTGGGATTGAGGATCTATGTTATTTACTGCACTACAATCAAGTAGCGTCCCGGTCGCCTAGGCAATGACATTGGAGCTGCTGAACGCTATGTGAAAAGTGAGGCAAAGGCTTGTGTGCTCCTTCCTGGAATAGGAGGCAGTTGCAAGGGGGTGGGGAATGCTCAGCCAAGCGTGCCGGGGAGTTAAGCTGGTCACCAGCGCCAAAGTGACCCGGGGGCAAGCTGGCTCTCGGGGCTCCGGCAGCGCTGGCCACCCAGCAGCACTGCGCCCGAGGCGGCTGCTGGGGTTTAGTCGCGATGGAGAGGGGAAGGCGACCCGACGTGGAGCGCTGCTCCGAAGGAGGCTCTTCCCCTCACCAGACCCGTGGCTGAGCTGGTCTTGTGCCAAAAATGCCAAAATGACCAGCTCACCCCTCTTGGGTTGTCAGAGGACCTGGGGGGCCAGCAAGGGCCGCACGTTTCACCGCGCTGCGTCCCGCGGTGGGAAAAATGGCTTGCCAAGACGCACGTAGGGTGGCAGCGGATGAAGTCTGGGTATTTCTGATTAAACACCATCAGCCATGAGACTCTAATTATCTCGGTCATGTGCG